TCTCTCTCTCTCTCTCTCTCTCTCTCTCTCTCTCTCTCTCTTGTCTCCTTCCCTTCCCCTCTCTTCCATGGAAGAAGAAAATCTTGATATATGTCTCACAATGCACAAGGATGTCTGCAAAGGCATCATGCAAGTTGACACATTACTTGCACTCAAATCAACTTCAGAACTTGGGAGAGCGGTCTATGATGTAACATTGCACTTGCTGCAATCAGCCTTTTTATGCATGCCACAAAACTGTTGTGGTGTGCATTGAATTGGCCTTTTTATGTGCTATCATTATATAGAAATTGTAGACGCCATGCTGGGAGCTATCGTGGCCTAGAGGTTAAGGTGTTTGCCTCTCATTCAAAGGTCCCAGGTTTGAATCAGGGGTAGCAATGTAAAAATTTTCTTCTCTTAATTAAATTGTCTCCTTTCACCTCCTTTCCTGCTCTCTAGCAATGTTCTGTCGTCTGCTTTCATCTCCACTTTCTGACCCCTCCCCCTCACCTCTTTTGCCCCCTCCTCTGGGCTCCTGTTTCTGCAACCTTTCAAATCTACTACTACTCCTTGGCTCCTTCCTGCTGTCTTTCAGCCACGCCCCTGATCTTCTGGTAGGAAAGATCTACACCTAGCCTTTTCGGACAAGGTCGAAAAATCTCGGTTGCGTGTGCAAATTGCACATGTTAAAGATCCCTTTGTGGTCTAAAATCAATAAGAATAGGCTTCGGCTGCCTCCCGGGCAAAATTAAAAATTTCCTACCAACTAAAAATGAAAATGTTGTTTGCCGCGCGCACATATATGCCCTTCAGTTGCGTGGTTGTGAGCGCTGTAAAACACTTACCAAAAGAAAAAAAGACGCCACTCAGCGTAATATTTGTTTATATCATCCTATGTGAGGGACCAGAGCTTACCTCTGTGCTACTGCTGCCTCCTCTGCTTAAAAAATGTGCTTATATAATTTTGTTGCATCCTCTGGTTTAATTATTGTTACTCACTTGATTCTTTATTTCTTGTTCAGATAGAAGACTGGTTCCATTCTTTGATTCATTGTATGATTGTTCACGTACTGTTTTTTATTTCCTTTCATATTTCTTTATTTCCTTTTTCAGTTTCTGTCATCATGGGCTTGCTGAACTGTTTTAAGATCCTGCTCTACATTTTCAATATTGTTTTTATTGTGAGTGCAGTAGGATTTTTTAAAAATTCACAATTCACATAATTATAAGAAAGAAACAGTGCAACAATAGCCATCTGTAAATCAAATCTTTTCATCATCTTTTTCCCCCTCATCAGTGATCTGGTAAAAATGCGCTTTCTCAATCTCCTAAAACTAAATACAAGACCAAAAACATAATATATATTCTTAGATTTTTTTAGTTCCCCTTGCTAAGAATTTTGTTGATCATTATAACAAAATGCTTTAAAATGGTATGGTATAGATTGATGTGTGTTATAATAACTAATGCCGTTTAAGTAGAAGTTTCAAGTAACTGTAAGATTTTTATGATGTGATGAGGACCAATGGCTGGACTTTAAATACTGAATAGAATACCTAGGCCTTTAGATCATGTGTCTTTAAATATTTCATGGCCAGAAATGAGACAGATTCAATTAAGTTTAAGGGCTGTTCCACTGTAACTGACCTGACATTTTGACTCTACTACTTTCTTACAATGATTTTACTGTAGTTCAATATCAATTAATTCATTTCAAATTTAATCAGAACATTTGAAAGACATACTATGAAGAATCATATTAAATGCAGTCATTTGAAAAAAAAATAGGCCTACTTTGTACTTTGTTCAAATTTTGTGACGTGTTTTGTTTCGGTAACTGACTGGACAAATGAGGTATTTTTTCTGTCCCATCAGTTACCGAAACTAAACACGTCACAGAGTTTGCCTAAAGCACTTTTTTTTTTCAAATGACTGCATTTAATATAATTCTTAAAATGTCTTTCAAGTGTTTTGATCTTTTAAAGTTAATACATTGTATATTAAATGATATTGAACCAGAGTGTTATCATTAGAATAGGAAAGTATAGTCCTAATGCCAAATGTCCCTTCAGTTACCGTGGAATAGCCTACTTTAAAAGTAGGTCACATCCCTAAAACTTTATGTTGATGAGATTATGAATTGGCCCCGTTATCTTTATTCTCTTTGATATTCCCTCTTTTCTTCTTTCCTGCATGCATAGATTTTTTCCCCTTTATCCCTGTCAACCCCCCGTCCATCCCCCCTCTCCCCTCCCCCCCATTTCGTTTTTTCCCGCCCTTTTCTCTGTCCTCTTTCTTCGCCCCACCTTTCTCTTCTCTTTCTTAAAACTTTTCTCTCCTTTTAAAGCAAACAGTCAATGTTAGTACATGCCCTTTGATTTCAGGCTGTCGGCTTAACTTTGATAGGCATTGGGATATGGACAGCTGTGACCAAAGTGTACGTCTCTTTTGTCATCGGGGACACACTGTTCAGTGCCGCATCCTACATGCTTATTGGTGTTGGTGTTGTCTTGATAACCGTCTGCATTATCGGCATCTGCGGTTTGATGAAAGCTGACACAAGATGGCTCCTGATAGTAAGAATTCGATTATTTGATTTTATGCTTGATACTTTCCATTTCGCAAATGGAAATTTTCATGTTGTAGTTGGAGGCATTATGTTAATGCAGTAGGTATCATGCATGATTTAGGGGTGGATGATGCTGATTATAACTCTTTGTAAATGGAAGGACATTCCACTTTAGTGCCCAGCCAACTTTGTCGTCTAATTTTTCAGCGTCACAAACTTTCCTATAACTGCTGCTCCTATGCAAGCTATTTGCCTAAAATTTTGTTTTATCAGTTTCATCTTTTATTATTATTATTATTATTATTATCATTATTGTTTTTATATTATCATTACCTTTATCATTACCTTTCAACACTTTTTCGACACCTTCAGAGGAAGTAGAGCTCAGGGTTTTTTTAAACTCAACATTTTTTTTCTCCATTTTTTAAAGAATTTTTTCGATGATTGGTTGTAGTTGCCAGTACAGTATACTCCATTTTGCAGGAATTGTACACATTTCTGACTCCTAGTTGAAAGTGGTTGATGGGCACCGTGGTGTGATCTGCTCAGTATTACTCTTTTCAGTGTATTTGTTTTCTTGATATGTTCCCTACTTAATGTGACCCTTATTGTGATTTTGTCATTGTAGACTCCAACTGACCTTTCATACCTTTTCTACTTTCAGTATTTCGGATTCCTGATATTCTGCTTCATTATCCTCCTCACGGCAGCTATTCTCGCCATTGTGTTCAGGTCTGAGGTAAGAGCCCCAGTTTGAGTGTGTGTCTATGTTTCTGATAGTTCACCAGTCTTTAGCCTTAAAAGCTGGTTCTCTTTGGCCCAAAGCAGTGATGCAGACTGTCAAAGTCTTTATAAGTCGTTCCCTGCTGTGGTATAGAAAGAGAGATTTGTGTAGGTTGGTGTCGGAGTACAAAGTTGTAGCTGTTGCCGGAAATCTGGTTGAGTCACGAGTGACCTAGGTAGTAGTGGTTGGGCTGCTGGACTTGTACTGATGAGATTGCAGGTTTGGGGGATTGAGGCTCAGCTTGGTCCAGCATGGAGTCTTTGGGAAAGGCACTTTACACCAGTTTTCCCATATGGTTTGGTCTTATGGGAGATGGACGTTAAATTACGAGGTTTTTACCTCTTTAATAACCTTACAATGTTGCAAAAGGCATAAAACCTATTCAATTTTGTATACATTTTAATCAGGGCTCAAGGAAAGCGGGTGTTAGATCAATTGCATAAAAATAGCTGGGTAACAAAGCAGACACAATGGTTAACTCTGTAAGGGTTGCTTCTGTTCAGTGATGAGTATTGCTTGTCAAGTGTGCCAAATTTGCAGAAATGTCTGTCATTTGTCAGCAGCATTATTCTGGATGTTAGTTTCTGCTGCAACTGCCTCAAGATTTCCTCTCTCATCACTTTGACCTTGACGTTTTCCAGTCAATATAGGCTTTGATTGAAATGTATACACTAGTCGCTTTCACTCGTTTGTGAAAATTGTGGGTGGGTGGTTGACGGGTCTGTGATACGGCTTGCTCCTTCTTTCTTATCAAACATCTATCTTTCTTATCTTTCCTCTTTCTTTTTTGTGTATTTTACTCTCTTGTAACGCCTCTAATCTTCAGCACTTATATTATCTAATTGTGATGCAAGTGCGGTAAAATGCTTAAGAAAAATATAAATTGATTTATGCACCCCATCATGTGAATGTGTATGCTTACTGCTTATCTGTTGGTATCTTCACAGGTGGAAAATGTGATGGCTGATAATATGCGAAAGTCACTGGTAAAGAGCTATGCCAAGGACAAGGAGATCACAGATGCTTGGGATCAGCTACAGAAAGATGTGAGCTTTCATCTTTTATTGTTTTGCTGTTCTTGTTTTGATCCTATGAAAATTTGCTCCTGGTGAATTTTTGTTTTTACTTGTTGGTGTCATCAAAATGTAAAACTTATTTGTTTTAACATTTTGTCTTGCCACATTACCGCTTATATATTTCTTCCCATTTGTTTCTCTGAATCCCTTTTTCTCAGCATTTCATTTCTGTTTAAGCCCATATTAGTTGTGACTATTAACTGTCTTTTCATTTGCAAATGCAACTTCGAAAATTTTCGTCAATTATTTTCTCAAAAGCTCGGTGGCATTCCTGACTTCAGCCTGCATGGTTGTGCTCCGATGTGTGTACCTGTTCAGGAGAGGAATGAAAGAAGCAAGAGTGGGTTGAGTCCCAAGGAGTAGGGCTTCATGTTTATTCTTATGCTGTCAAATCGGCTCAGGATGATCACCCATTGTTGAGGAGAATAGTGGTACTCCTAGACGAATGATTCTCGTGGACTGTACAGTCTCTTTATTATAATTTTTTTTATAACTGGAGGGAGGAGTGGGAAGAGTTTTTTTTTTTTTTGTACGAATGATTGTCTTGGACAGGTGGTTGTTAGAGCAGGATTGACTATTTTGTCTTTTGAATTAATTGAACTTGCACTAACAGCCTCCTATACATGACAATCCTCTGCACAAAGGACCTCTCACCCTTGTGCTTTTTAAAAATAGTATAATGACACTGTCCAAGACACACACTTGTGTAAGACTGTGTTGGACAATTTTGACTGTAAATGTTCATGTCCATTCTCCAAGTGAACAATATAAATGAAATGTAGTATTACTACTGTTATTTTTTAAACTATCATTGCTGTTTTTCTTCTACAGCTGCAATGTTGTGCAATCAGCAGAACCCCTATCACCTCGACTTCCGGAATGCAGTTTCAGTATGTAGACGACACATATCCTATTCAGGCAGAAATTGAGTACCAAGATTCGTGGCCCATTTATAAGAGGACTGAATTTTACCGCAGACAGTTGAGTAAGTTATTGAGTTGTCGATCAACAGTTGGATCTAGAATATTGTCTGGATGAAAAATGTCATAGATACGATTCAGCATGATGATAAGTTGATTTGAATGCTTTTTTAAATTTTGAGATAGCTGAGATTTAAAAAAATTTTTGTTGTTGTTGCTTTTGAGGTTCAAAATTTGGGCAGAAGAGATCTTTTTCAATGAAAAAAGTCTTGGTTTTTCTAGTAGGGCTCTCAAAAATGTTATACTCATAAAGAAAGCTGAAGGAGTTAGTAAAATGAACCAAGATTGTTCATTCTTTCATAGATGATGTTCTTTATTGATTTGACAGTTGATGGATAGATTTGATTTTTTTTTTTCAGATGAAAAAAGACCTCATATTCTCTTCCTGTCACATTTTTAAAAAAAACATTTTTTTCAACTTATCGGTGTAATGTGATGTGGTTTACAACTTTCATTTCAGCTTCTGGAAAATGTTCATTGTAATGCTTAGTAACCTAAATTGAAGTGAAAGGGGATGTATAAATTCCAAATTGGCTTGTCAAATGTTACATTCTTTTAATATATTCCCATCACTTGGGTCCTACCCTCCTGTTTCCGATGCAGATGTGGGTCCTCAGCAGAGGAAGTACGTGCCTGTGTCATGCTGTGTGTATGACAATACGCTGGAAGACTTTCTCAACAAGGACGTCTGCCAGTATTTCCCCAACGGACCACCGTACAACTACGAGCTCATGCTCACAAACCGTTATGTGAATTATGAGGTTAGTCACCCATATTTTGCTATTGTTAAAATGTGTGCTGAATTAGTCACCTAACTGACATCTGTGGTGTAGCAGGTAGATGTTCTGCAGATTCACGCAGGAGACTTGAGTTGGATTCCCGCTTAGGGAGAACTTTTATTGAATATCTTGGTTTGCTTGTGTGGACGTCGTATTCCGTCAGCCTGGGTTGGCAGTAAAAAAAGAAGAAAAAAAAGATGATTATTTTTTTTCAGTCTCCTTGACTTTAGAAAACACGATTGTGTGCTTTGTGTAGAGACTCCTATCTGATGCTGTAAAATTAAGATGGCTGGTCTGGCTGAGCTTTATTTGTTCTGGTTTTAGGGCTCCTTGTTCTGTCCTTTGCTGTGAACTGTGACATTCTATCAGAATTATTGCACCTGTTTGCTTACTTCTTTTCAACCACTCTGTGGGTGACATGCAGGGACATTGGTGTAGTTTGCTCCCTCTTTCCTATCAAACACATAGCTGCCACTTTTCCTCTAAATAGCGGAAACTCTGCTTCATCTAGCTTTTTCCGCTACTTTCCTCCTTCCTCCACTCTCGGTCGCAAATCGCGATACTTTTTTTTACACGCGGAAATCGCCGAACCGGGAGTGAGACGAAAAAGCGGCTTGCGCATGTCCACCCGTAGCTTTCTACTTCCGTTCTGTGCCTAGTTTCTAGTTTCACATTGTTTATTGTTGTGGACTGTCCATCGAGCATCGGGACGATGGCGCGCCGAGTTATCATTAAAAACGGCGGAGATTCGAGAGAAATTGATGCAGAATGCAAAAATAAATGGAGCTGGATTTAGAAAGAGGCAGACAATGTGCTTTCTAAATTTCATTTGAGAATTGAACAAGCCGAGTGCTGCACTTTGCGTTTGGTGCGATAAGTAAGAAGGCAATTGCATTTACAGTGGAAACCTGATATAACAGGGATGGTGGGAGTAGAGAAAATGTCCTGTTATATCCGATCCTGGTTAAATCAGAAATGCAAGGAAAGTAAGCATTTGTGGACTAATCCAGCTGTACCTATTCATGGGTAGTTTCCTTTGCCACAAATACCCACGAACAGGGGTTTAGGCACCAACTTTCTCCATTGCCTTACAATACTTACATCAGAAGAGCTTGGTCCACAGCATCTGCATCGAGTAGTTTCATCTTCTTTCGATCCAGAGCAAACTATCCATTGGAGTATGCTGCCACTATCTTCTCTCTATCCTTGGTAATGGTGTGAATCGACCCTTGTGGAAAGTCGAATTGACGACAAATCTCTGCCAGTGGAGCTTGCTTTTTGTCAACAGCCTGGATTATTTAGTATTTTTTTTCAATTGAAAGGCATTTTCTCGTGCGCTTGACATCGTTGGTGACACATTACGCGTGTGTGTGTTGCTAGGTTTCGGGCTAGATCGCTTCACCACACGCTGCGTGTGCTCGCAGTGGCATGGCTTGCGTGGGCTTGCTCCATCACTGCGTTACTCTCTCTCTCTCTCTCTCTCTCTCTCTAGTGATGAGTATT